ATCTATAAGCTATAGCGCATAAGTATTGGTGTGTTTTGGTGTATATTTACTATTTTTAGTTTAGAATTTTCCTCTTCAATTTGTAACAATAACCTTCATCTCTTTGCTTTTTTGCGAATTTAAGTCACGTTTTATTTGGAATTGTCAATAAAACAATTACGTGCATGCACGCATGCAAGCAAATGTACTTCTTCCTCCTGCCCTACAAATCTTCGCTTCTGGAATTTTTCTATTCCTTTCGTTTGGCTTTCCAGTTTAGCTATTTCGAATGATCGTTGCGACTATTAATGCACGCACGCCTAGTTAGTTCGTACTTCAATTGCTGAGTATAACTTTCTAATATACTTACGTATACTTTGAAAATTCATTTCGACTGTGGTGATCTTCATCCATAAGATAAACTTTCAGTTCTTAGGCGAAATTGCGACTTATATATAGAACAACAGAGCAAGTTACTCATACCTGCTTGAAGGGCGAGATATACACAAAATACACAATCGTTTACATTACGTTAATATGGCAGAGAGGTTTTACTAACTTTTAAAAGTTTAAATTAAATTGTCAAGACTTTTAAGATCGTAATTTAAGTGAAGTAATAATGATCAGTTCTTTTTCGCAGTTATTCACAAGTCAATGAATACACAAGTCAACGTTATTACCTTCGAAAGTTAAACCCCCACGGAATTGTAAAAGGAAGAAGAAAACTTAAAGGTGACCGCACTGCATTTCCAACCGAGTAGAGGAGGAATAGACAACAGTACAATTCTAAAATGATTCGGTTATTCATTCAAAACGAGTATACTGTGTCTACAGTTGCTCTTTCAATCCGCTACAAATAATACCTACAGAAAACTTGTCCTGTTCACTTTTTGTTAAATGAATAGCACAACGCGCCTCGAACCGTAAAATAATAACACGATAACGATTTCTGGAACAGTATAATGTAACGCTTTTCTTATATTTACAACCAAGATCTGATAACGGTACGCCATATGCTTAGCTATGCGCTTCGCTCGGTCTAATGGGATCAGCATGTTTGCGATATTACCTTGTCACATACATGCATGTGTATATGTACGCTATATAATTTTATTGATTAATCTTCACCATCACGTTCACTGTTTGAAAACTTACAAATCTGACAGGCATTTTGGATCCAAACAGTTCTAAATGTCTTAAGAAAAAATTGACCTTATAAAAGTTGTAACTTCAAATTTGAAAACCGTGTTTGTCTGCTAAAAAAACGACATGGCTTATCAATAAGAAGTGCAATTAGGAACACAGAACTAAAAGTGACCCAAAATAAAAAAAATAAAAAATTTAGAACTAGACAAAAGCAAATCTCTAGGAACCTGACAATGTCTCTTGTTACGAGACGTCGATAAGGTAATCTCTCAAACCACGTACTGTGCCTCCATCATTAGCAGTAGGGTATCAATAGCGCATTTACTGGGTAGAAAGTTTAGCTCTAGTAATTTCTAATTACAGGTAAAACAGAAGACATCGTTTAGAGCATGAAATTGAAGAGACGCCTTGAGTTGAAACGACTCTAAAAAAACAAGAGGTTTTGACATTAAATATGGTTATTAAATATGAAGGTATCGGGAAAGCCTGTAAATAATTTGCAATTACTGCCACTTAAAAACTGTATATAATATTTATTTATATAAATTATAACATCTTGATGATCGTGGTTTTATTCCTTAGTTTTTTTGCCAAAGGTATTATTTAGAGTTCATTCTTTAGTAATCGGAAAACGTGCTCCTCATTTGCGAGTAAAACTTTTTCTGGTCACCTTTACAACGTCCGTTTTTCTCTTCTTTTTACTCGCCAAAACGCATTAGCTGACAGGGATACCAACGCTATATATTACTGTTTTCGGATTCTTACTGCAATCGTATTGCTGATAGTAAACTTTTTGCTGTCAACATTCAATAAGGTGTAAACTTATTTACGCTAAATTTTTATAATTAATTAATCGGAAACTTTTGAAGATAAAAAAGAATGGGGATTAAATACAATAAGAGAGTTAAATAATCGTACGGAGATTTCAACTGTTAAGTTTGCATCACAGTAAGTTTGTCACTAAGCCAATGAACGAGCATAACGAATTTTATCCGAGTTCTGACAGTTTCGCGCTTTTCATTTACTTTAAATTTTTGTTTTAAAAAATTCCTCATTTATTAATCGCGCTATAAATAATGGTTACGTCTAAAAATATAGTTTATATGTAAAAGAAAAATCGGGAATTGTTAAAAGAATTGAGTGAATTTTTAACACATTCGCTGCCAAGCGATTTTTTAAAAGAATCTACGTCAGACCACGCGCTTTCCGGTACCGCGCCATCTGACAATGCGGGTTTAAAACAGGTATTGTGTCAAAGTTTACTTATCGTAGTAAAAGATTATTGGTTGTAAAAAAAAAATTCCTAGGTATGACCATAGATTATCTATTTTGGAAAATTATATCAGTTTTTGTCTGCGTGTCTTGTGATATTTACGAAGATCCTTTGTAAGTAGTAAATTAAGGGAATTCGGATGAAGCGGCCTGATGACGACTTTTTCCGTCACCCGAGTCTTAGTAGCGTGACAATCACCATGTAAAGCGTTACAGACTGTAGTGTCCCATATGATATATAATAAGTTTATATATGTTTACATTCTTACTATATAGTAGACCGTGGCCACTCTTTCACAATTAGCATAAATTTACGGGTTTTTGTTATAGATCAGAATATCGTACTTTTTATACTCCCGTAATAGTAGTCGAGTAGGTAAGAAGCGCGACTAACAAGTCAGTATTCGCGGGTTCATATTTCAGTGCGGTAGACTTTGGTTTGGTTGTAGTTACTATAGCGAGTGTTCAGTCGAAAAAGACGTAACAGTTACCGATTGGGCACACAGATTCACTAGGCTACGGCCACTTTCCTATATCTTTTCCTTTGTTTAGCTCTTCTTGTTTCCGGCCGTTGCCGTGTTACGCGAAGAGGGGGCAAACCATGAGAGTGGTTAGTCATATCAATGTCTACAGCCAAACTGCGAAGCCATCAAAATCACTTAACTGAAGAAAGTTTCCCTACTATTAGGCAAATTTTAGCGACAATCGTTGCTCTTGCAAAATTTGTATGAAGTTTTTATTCAATTACCGGTGAGAATTTGCAAAGTAACGCAACACATAGTCTATAGGTTGGTATGTACTAAAAATCTTTGTTTTATTTATAGAAAAATGGAAATTGTAAGGAAAAAGAAAAGTTAGCATATTTCTCTAAGACGATTATTGTCAGTTTTACCATTCACTTGAACTTTGATACCAAATAAAAGAGTAAGTAATATAATAAGGATCAAACTGCGGAATAAAACTCTCGCACCCTTCTTAACAGATGACGTTTGGCTCATATATATCAGCATATTCACGATAATATATTCAAACTAAAGTCTCTTGACTACCAAGACTACTCGTGCTAACGTCGTTGTTAGGCCTTTCTATTCTTTATTCACATAGGCTTTCGTAATTGTTGTATTACATTCTTGCTTAGTATACACATTCGACCAAAGATTACGTTTTAATTTGCATATTGAGTTCTCTTTCAGTAAAGGTAGATCCGCGCTAGATTTTATTTAGAGGTGGTCGAAAGAGCTGAAGCATCCTTACTTTACAAAAAAAACCTATATGCGTACTTAGTTAGACCGATACTTGAGTATGACTCTGTTGTATGGTTTCCTTCGTATAGATGTTATGTGATTCAATTTGGATCGGAATTCCCTTGTCTCTGTACCTCCTTATGGATATAGGTTGCTTCCTCTCATCCATACCGTCACTTGAGAAACGTAAATTTATTCTTGGTGTTTCCGTCTTAATTAATATAGCTAATGGTACTACCGATTCGCCCACATTACTTGGTGAGATAAGCTTTAATGTCCCTAATCGCTTCATTAGGCATTTTATTTTCATTAAAATTAGTCAATGTAATATAATTATGGGCTGTTTAACTCGTTCAGAGTTGTTTGCAGACACCGAAATGATGTTTATCACTAATCTCAATATCTGACTCTTTAAAGTCTATCAATATAGCTATGCTTAACACGCGCGATTTGCCTATGTCGTATTTAAGCTGATTGGCAATCTTGACATGTTCCTGTGGTTAGAAAATTCATTCAATTCAGTGTTGGTTAGTGTTATCGACTTTTACATGTTTGCAATGGCTTGGGGGTCCACTTGCAACGCGGATCTGTACTGATTGTGGATGTGTCTCTCTGCTAGTTGTGTACATGCTTTTTTCGTTCTTATTTATTTATGCATGAATTATTATTTAATTTTTTTTTTCTTCATCTCTCCTTATATACTTTATACTGGTTTTTAGTAATAATTTGTATAAGATTTGCTCCTGAGAGGCAATTGAACTCGGCTGTTAATTGATTGTAATTGAGTTTGATATGTAAATAAACAAATAAGTAAATGAATAAAATAAAAAATAATCAGATGAGGATAGATTTATAAAGTAAATATGAAATGAACCAAAAAAATGTTCGGCCAAATGTTCTCTTCAAATAAAAGAAAGGACAATATATACTCTATAACACAGGATGGGAGTGGTTAATTTTTTTATTTCTTTATATAGATACTGCAGGAATTTATGAGTAACAAGCAAAAGACATAGAAAATTATCATTCCGTCAGTGTACGCTATATGCTGGGTGCGACCTTTGACCTTTGGGTTAACCTTTTTTCATTACTAAGCTGCGAGCAAGAACTTCCGAATTTGAAACAGATATATTAATGTTTGCCATTGGCAAACGCACAGACGAGCAGATGTACGAGCAGATTCATTCAGAATTTGAGAATGTATATATTTTATACGATCTCAGAAGTTTGTTCACCCTTTACTCCAAATGTTTTCAGAAAATATTCGTAAAGCAGACAAAGTTATTCAACGAGAAATTATTTACTGTTTTATTACATTATTATTATTTTATTGATTAATAAATCTTTCTTTCGTTTCAGATTTGCTTATTGAAATGTTGGGTGTATTGGCGAGTTATAGCATTACAGTTAAGGAACTAAAATTACTATTCGGCACTATGAAGGCAGTTAACGGTAAATGGCCACGACATTCGGCCAAATTATTGAATGTGCTGCGACAAATGCCGCACCGTAATGGTCCCGACGTATTTTTTAGTTTTCCAGGACGAAAAGGATCCGTAAGTAAAAGGCGTTACATTTATATATATATATATATATTCCGATTCGTTATACATAAATTTCTAATTTCTTATCGTTTTCATACCATAAGAATTTTTGTTGATGGACTGATTGCATGTTGTCGAACTAAAGCGATTGCACAACAATGTTAGCTAAAATTCTGTCGAAAAAGAATCGAGGAAGTATCGTTAAAGCGTTACTTGTTCATTTTAGCGAATAGCTTCACATAATTAATCCATTATATTTACATAATAGTCGATGTGAACCATTTGGCCCATTATAAGAAATTCAGATTGCGCTGCAGCACAATAGCCGATCAAAATCTAACAATCGCGGAGGCAAACCCCACGCGGATGGAGATTTCTCAGACATTGATAACTCCGCAAAGTTTGATCAAAGTGAAAAAAGTAGTTAGCTCAGCTGTTAGCTGTTAGTTTTGTATTCTTTACAAAAATTGGCAAGTTTTTCCAAAATATTTGGGAAGTTTAAACTTTTTTCTACGCCATGGTTCGAAACCAAACTATTAGATTGTTATCACTGTAAAAAACAAAGGTTTTATAATATAACAATTGAAACAAATTGCATTTATGAAGGACCATGTAAGAATTCTCAGATTTTAATTGTATGCAAGCTTGTTTAGTCGACATTAGTTTGTTGCATGTGATGCAGGACTGTCTCGTATTTCTTAATTTCTACCTCTCACGTAACACCTCTCATGTAACACTTTCCTTTTTGTTTAATTCGATCACTAGCATCTCGCTCTGATTTCTCATCTACGGCGAACTCCTCACTAGTATTTCTACCTACTCTTTACCGTTGGATTATTCAATACGCGTCCTAAGTTATATAGATATTGAATATAGATATTATGAAAATTTTAAAGTTTTTCGAAAGTTGCTCCAATGGCTTAGCTGTTACGAATGTGTTTATATAGCGGATTGTGCTCACATGTGCAGTCGATCTTTTTCGATCTTTGAACTAAATCCAAAAATGTATTAATTTCGTCAAGTAAAAAAAAAATCAAACATCAATGGGTCGTCAATTATACCTGGAAACTAAAATATGTACAAGAAATTTGAAGATTAATATGTAAACATGCTTTTCCATTATCTTTAAAGTCACCTCAATGATTTCTAAAACATTATATGCTTTGAAAGTATTGTTTAAAACATGAACTCAGCAAAATGTCAAATTAACAGCTTCGATATATCGAATGTTGAATAGGAAACGAGAAATTAACTTTTCCTTTCTCCGTGTTTTTTTATAAAGAGTTATTACAAAATACAATTACAAAATGCCTCTATACAAAATTTTATGCTTTCTGCCTGCATTCGAAAACATGAACTTTCAGTTTCACTTTTCAAATATGTACTGCGTTTCAAACATTGCTGTAATAACCACAACGTATTACATTAGGGTGTACTTTGCCATTTGAGGCATAATCAACAAAGCTCCTTATACTTTCGAAAGCTTTGGTAACAGTGGGCGAATCGCCTGCAGCCAGATATCACGTTCAGTTATGCAAAGTTTTCACTCGTACCTTATCGTCCAGCATTGACAGCATTTACTAATAAACACTGCAATGACTGCTAGGGCAAGGAATTTCATTTCACATAACAATTTCAATATAAATGTTTTCAGTTGGGTGTAGTTCAGAAAGCGAAAGCACAAATAGAAATTTCTCAATTTGCTTTTCACTTCCTTTGTCCTATAACACTGAATTCATAATATTGAGTTTCTTAAAACTCTTGACTACGTAGTAAAACCGCAAAAACTATTTAAACATAATCTCAAAGAAAATTGAAAATTCGTTTTTAATATGTCTTAGAAATAGAAAAAAGAGAAATATTTTTTTCAATAGGATTCCAATGAAAATTCTGTGGCCAAAACTACTGCAAGATAATTAGTTCCACAGTATTTTCCTATAAATTGCAATAAAGTTAAAGCTGCTTTTGTACGGTGTTTTTGCGCCCTTTATTTGTGCGATCGGTTTCGTGCAACTTTTTCATTACGGTCTATGAATACGTGCAGGGTTATGGGGAGAGAAAGAGAAGAAGAATATACGCATTTCAGATTACGACACCTTGTATTGAACTCTGTGCATTTTGAAAATATCTCCACGTTTAAAATGAATCGATTTAATCTTGTCTGCCCGCCTGTCCGTCTTGTTTTCTTGTGTTCAACCTACCAGTCGCAATTTTTGAAATATTTGGAGGATATTTCTTGCGCTGACGTGTTTTGGCCCTGACGTGTATTGGCCCAAGGACGGATGCTAATAAACATAGCTGGGATGAGATCACCTTTTTGACCGTTTCCTGTATACCGCCTTATTTCGTAATTATGGTGACATGAGTAACTATAGTGCTATGCAGAGTATTTAATGTGGGGTCGTGAGCACGTGTATGCTTTTTACTTGTTTTTAGATAAACTTTGCTTTCTCTCTCCTGTTCTAAGCTTCGTCACTTGATAGTCGATTTTTTTTGGAAGTCACTTTTTCGCTACTTCCCTAAAGACACTGTTTATATGGTCTCTCTCCATTGTATATGTATTTATGACTCAGTAATGAATTTTAGGAGACTTTTTGTTATTTTGTCATGCCATTTCATTCATTACAACTCAATTTCATATTATACAAACTCTATGTTCGACGAGTATACGAGTACAACGCTCGAGAGGTCGACGTAACTAATTGATTAATATGGCATGAAAAATCATTTATTCTTTTTTTGCTTGTTTTTCCTGCGTTTCCTGTCTACTTAGTTTCGTGTGCCACGTTGAGTGGCGATGCTCTTTTGGGATGGTCCATGAACTGGATCTACTTGCAAAAGCATCACTCAATCTTACCAAATGCTGGCAGGAGACCATCGAAGCCGGTTTAGAGAGGTAGAAACGGCTATCGATATGTCCAAGGAATGCGTTTGTCCTGTGTTCAGTCACGATTTAGGCTTGAGAAAGCCGATCACACTTTGTATGCCGTGTTTACTGACAGTGGAATAAGGAGTCCGAGTTACAAATTGATAACTATACTGGCGAAATTATACGAATGGAAGTTCCAATTGCGATCCTATCCACCATCTTCTAGATGTAAACTGGCGGCGACTATTATCTCTTAGCGAATCTTAAAGTAATAGTCCACAGAAAAAGATTTGAATCAACTGATAATAAGATGAATATACAAATCGAATCTTATTTTCAGGCAGTAAAAAAAGCGCCGAACTTTTATAGAATCGTTGAATTGATTGCAGCATTCTTAAGGGACACTGGGTTGTTGAATAAAGTCAAATTTTTGCAATTAAAATTTTTTCTAACTTAGGCCTTTGTTCGTTAATTTTTGTAATGATATAAACAGCGTCTTCCATTAGTATTAACTGATTTCACTTCATAGATCTCGTACAATGGCATAAATTAATAAAGGCAATTCTAGAAAAGAAAAATAATGCTTGAGTCAACTCATTAAATGAGAAAATATTGGTGGACGAAGCTCCAGACTAGAAGTAAATTCTATGTTAAATAGACAATCTCTGCTGAATATTGAAAATAGCTCTGTGAATATTATTCTATCGTATTTTCCCACGTCGAAAGGTTAAAATATAGCCCGATCGATCGGATCTGTTTTTATAGAGGAAATATTAGCTGAGTAAACATACTTTTAGGCAACTTTGTAATAAAATTTTACGTTTCTAAGGTATAAAATTAAATATATTATAATTATTAGATACTCTTAAGGTTATTCAGCTTTGATACTTTCTCTATTTCTATACCTAAAATTGCTCGACCTCACTATTGGGAAAAGTTCCATTACGACTGATAACACGACGTATGTGTATGAAACGTTCACTTGATTATTAAAGAAATAATTTTGACATCCATTGGATTCTTGAAAATTGCTTCAGACGTTTAACTTTGCCGCACGGTTCAAATTCGCAGCTAAAATTCACCAATGATGCCAACCTCATGTAAACGTTTCCAGATTTTTATAGTCCACATCGTTCGTAATATAAAAGTATAAAGTATTTTTGCAAATGAATGCTAGCAAATTAATGACTTAAGGTAGATGCGGCTTTTATTACACCAATTCATTCAGAATCGTTCTCTGAATCGGTATAAGCCTATCCATTTGACCCTTTTATCTCCGCCTATGCATTTCTGTATTAAATTTACAGATTTAAATTTTCGAAGCATTAATTTGTTTTGACTTACTTGTTTTAACCCAAGGACGCGTTCTATTAAGAATATATTATTTCTTGCTTATTTATTCATTGTAAATAAATTTACAAAATATGGATTTAAACGCTGCCAGACAACTTACATCATACGCTCGCCTGTATTGAAAACTCTGCCGCACTTGAGATTCAAACCCGCGACCATTGAGTTAGTTAGTCACGGTCCTTTGTCTACTCGGCCACTAATGTGAAGAAAAATGGATTAGCCCTGTGAAACAATTTGGGAAAGACGATTCGATTTTTAACATTTTTCGAGGAAACCCAATGGGATATAAAGATTTCGTGAACCCCCTCTACATAAAAAGGTTTTTATAAGTAATGATCCTTTATATGGTAAAATTTCGATCGTTTTATTATGAAAATTGGAATAGAATAGGGATTTGATAAATAAAATTACTATGGTAAATTTGTACTGCGTATGTATATTATTTTGGACGTGTCCGCGTATAGAGGTTGTCTTGAAAAGCAATCCTTCATACAGCAACGCTTAATTTTAGATACTTTAAGGCGGGGATATGTGAACAATTGTACAAGGTGAAGTGGTGTAAGGTGTTTAATAGCACTCTTGTTCAGGTTTAATATATAATTAAACTGTTATTATCGTTCTAAATTGGTATATTTTTTTGGACCAAGTCATATAGTTAAGTATTGTAGGTTATTAACGATAATGTTCGAACATATTGCGGGCTTCTCTAGCTTTTTACTGATGGCTAGATTTGTTAATTTTTTAATTTGCAACTTGATCTACGGCACTTGATTAACAATATTTGCCAGTTGCAAGTTTTAGTTTCACCAACAGTACGGCTTTCAATTGAAAGTATATGCCCTCGTTACAATATCAAAGTGATCAAAAATTCTTAGAGCATCTAGTTTTAGTTTTGCAAGAAAACAAAAAATATTAATTTGGTAGTGCCTACCGTTGACCAAATATGGATATAAAGATAGATTATTATATTTAAACATATTTAAACAGAAACAGATTGATTATAGTACATGGGTCTTCTGAGGTTGCACCGCCTGAGATAAAGCCAGGTTTTTAATGGTTGTAACCCATTAAAATGATTTTCATTGTGAATAAATGCATCCGATTATTCACTTGATCTCAATGACTGTTAACATTTTTTTTTTTTAGCTTGTTTAAGTTGCTAAGCTATTGTGAGGTTAAACGAAAGTGTATGACCCTAATTATTACGCTCCTATTTAACTTTTGATAACTTGAGAAGAAACGAATGGTCAAACTAAGATCGATTTGCGATCTTACGCTGTTTAAGGACATGTGCACTTGTCAAGGTCTTCGATATCAATTTTTACGGTGATCATGTAAAATTTTTATATATAAAAACATTTCCTTCCATAGAAGATAACATCAAGAGTGGAACGTCATATTCCCCAAGAAGTGTAATATGCATTTGACTAAACGCCGTTGAATAATATCTTAAGAAGTAAAACCAATGTAAATTTAAAAAAATGAATTTTTTTTTTCTGCTTACGAAATAAACCTTCTAGGATATGTGGAAAAACACCACATTTCTTTCATTTCGGTTTCGCTCCTTCTCCGGAAGACCGCAGCTAGGTACTGTGCACACCGGCTGGAAAGTTACAGCCTAAGGCTTTATCTGTTGATTTCTAACTTCTCTAATAAACTAACAGATATTTTCGGGAATTATTTATGTTCATTTAAGAGAAGTTTTAAACAAAAATAAGTTTTCGGCTGAAGCGATTCAACGGATTTCAAAGCTGCTACCAAAAGTTAAAACCTTGAAATGAAGTTTTGGGAGCCTATTATGAGTTCAGCTGTTGAATTATACCTTTTGCTGCCATTTCCTTCGTCATTTCGTAACACGTAGAGTGTAAAATATTCGTATTTGTCCTTGACAGATGTAGCAAAACATGCCTATCATGGTTGAGGAAAGAGAATAAGCAAAAGCATTTGAACATAGAAGGCCAGTTTTGCCATATTGAATGGATACTTATCGCAGACTAGTGGAAAAGAATTAAAAACAAAAAGTTTCTTTTAATAAGAACGCCTATCAGCAATACATTACAAAATCGCAAAAGCCTCTTTCTCGAATTATGAATTTGCAAAAGGGCCTATAGAAGAGTTCCTATAATATTCGTTCTTTTCATCCGAATTCTTTGCAGTGCCTTTAAAACAAGATCCTTTAGAAGAACACCTAAGATTTTTCCGACGAGTTCATTTAAGCACTTTTTGTTTTCATAAGCGAATGCTTCTTTTTTTTTTTTTTTTTTGGTCAAAACTCACATCTTTTCATGCGGATACTCGAGAATCACGCAAAAACCAGTATTCTAAAAAAATCCTATGCATTACTCTAGCTGTGTATGTGGATTAAAAAATTCTTTACTTTTTTTTCAAGCTTAAGGTTTTCGAGCTCTTAAATGAAATCGCCTCTCGAATATAGTATCGGTATAGGAGCGGTGTTGCACACGTACTTAACGATATGCTTAATGACCTTCTTAAATATTATTATTCTATTAGCTTTTCTTCTATCCTTTTATAAAATCGTAAATCGTCGTAAAATACCTTCTTTTCGGTTGTTAAGGCGTGAAGCGAGGCGTACTACTTCCCGACCAAATTGATGGTAGCAGTAGCAGAAATCCGGACCTCGTATTTAGGGAAATTATTATGAAATCTTATGGCAGAACATCTTTATTATAATACTTCGCCAGAGCTAATGATGAGAAAAATAATTTAAGGAAGACATTTTCATGATTTCAGATTTTCATACCTCCTTAGCGTCCACTAAATTCATTAGGGTTGTTATTAAAAAAATTTTCATTCGAACGATAAAAAGTTGCATATTGTTTGCCTGTGCTAAGAACTTTTCTGACGCTAAGTGCCTAGTGTGCTGCTTGCTAATCATTCCTTACGTAATTATGCATAGTGGAAATTACACTTGAAATGTTAACTTTTGTTTTAACAGAGAGCCCAACAAAAAAAAAAAAAGAAAAGAAAACGTTTATTAAAATGTGATAACAAACTAAACCATATTCACCACCACTTCATTGAAATTGGAATAGAGAAACTCTTAAAGATGTGTATATGCAGCAAAGGAAGTTTGCCACTTCATATACGTTAAACAGACGTAGGGCTTATGCGCTTTAATAATAAAGTTATGTTAATTAATGTAAAAGTGTCTTGATATTGTGTGAAAGAACATTGAAATTTGACCCATCTATTTCTAGTATAATAGTCAATAGGCAATAGTCAGTGAGAAAGAATTGTGCGAAAACCTGTCCATAAAGTGACCGAAGTATTGAAATAATTCCAAGCTTTGGTGAATGGTTATCGAAAAATTTTCAAGAATTTTTCTAAAAATTAGATAAGTGGTTTTTAAAGGTACGTTTACAGATTCGATCGAGTTAATGTGATAGACTCATACCAGATACGTCGTTGTTATATAGTTTACATACAAAGAAATATGCCTCAAAAATCGAAGGAGAATAACTTCTCAATTCGACTTAGCCAGTTGTGGAAAATATAAGCGAGTACAGAAGTTTCGTTCTAAAGCTAAGATAGATCAGATACATGATCACAAAGAAAGCTTAAAAATTGATAGGTTTCGACCACAGACAAATTCACAGTAGGTGAAAAACTGCAATATATAGTAAGCTTTCATAAATTTTGAACAATAATCGAAGGGATTGGGGTCCACTAGTAATAAAGAAAGATTTCAACTTTCCACTTAAGCTAAATTTTGATTCAAAACCTCTCACATATTATTACATTGAATCGCCTTTCTTGATTGAAGTGCTGACATAATATTACTCATATTAGACAGATTAGTACTACTGGCGTCCGCATAGCGTAAAAGAACTATTTACAGAAACTTATATACAAAAATGAAAAGAAACTTATTTTCAGAAACTGTAGTCTAAGCATTTCACAACGCTTGCCTCTGTGTTAACCCCGGATTTCCCCAGACGTTTTGTTAATAATTTCGTTTATTCCCGCCTATGTTCAGCGGCTTTGTTTTGAGAGAACGGCGGGTAAAGCATCGAAAGTCTTTCTCTCATTTTCGAGGCAATCACGTAGTTTTCATGAAGATTTATTTTATCAGATATATGCTTTTCGTAAATGTGAAAATGTAAAAATATCGTATAACAATGATTTTGATTGAAGGGCCACTGAAGAATGCCCTCAATTTATTCTAATTTCTTTTCTTTTTTTTTCCTCTTAAAACATGATATATATAAATGTCGCTATCTTCATTCTAGGCCATGGTCTTACCACCTTTAGCGAAATGGCCTTATGAGAATGGTTTCACGTTTACAACGTGGTTTCGTCTGGATCCTATCAACTCGGTGAATATCGAACGTGAGAAACCCTACCTCTATTGGTAAGTTGCCAAATAAAAAGATTACTATTTTTTTATAAACTCATTACAGTTAGACCCTATTCGTAGCGTAGTAGGATAGGGAAGTCGACATCTATGCTTTGTTTTATAGTTATACGCTACATTCCTTTTTCTTACATCGCTCGTAAGTTTGCAGTGCTGCCACGTATTTTAACTCGAAGATTATTGAAAGATTAAAATTGAAAACTTATAGTTGGCAAAAGTCATTTAATTATAATTAAGGAAATTGTGGCAGCAGCAAATGTTGAACGCTAAAATTAGGCACTTGATATGCTGAAATCAATTTCACGAACTAGGACTATAAATGATTATTTTTGCAAAAATCTTAGCAAAAATATCGAAATCATAATCTGTAACGGCTATAGCTTGCTCCGTTTTCTGCAGCTCAGTTTTCGGAAGCAACGATTACATACTATAATTGTCGTCTTCTAAACATAAGCGCAACCTCACATAATAGCTTATTCTTTCAATGTGCTTTAGAACAAGGCGATTATAGTGCTAACGATATTACAATACTGGGCTGCCGATTAGTTTTTTAACTATGGTTATCGAAAGAAAAGAAATCTTAACGAACAGTTTACTTACTAAAGGATATAGCCGAAATACAATGATAATGTTTGAAAAAATATACCTAAGATATAGATAAAATAATATTATGTTTTCGAAAAGATTGCTGTAGTCGAAAGTAATAACTTCATAAAGCTTATGCACGAAGTTTTAAAACGTTACGTTGGTTATTAACATAAATTGTTAATATTCGTTCGACAATGCTCTATTGATGATGAACAGTTTCAATGAATCGTCTCTTGTCGATTTGCTAAATGTTAGAAGACGAAGTTTCAATGAATTTGTAAACATGAAGGAACTTGTTAATCGTTATATTAGACACTTTGAAAGATTTCAATTCAAGCAGAGTCAACGACATATTGTTCAAAATTGGGATTAGGCGAATCTCAGCCACTCTTTTTGTGTATCTGCTATCAATGGCAAAAGTAACGCTGTGATTGAGCAGCCATTTACATGCTTGCTCCTTCATAATCACTATATTTATCGGCAAACATTTTGTTAGTTTCTTTATATGAGGTCACATTTTCTCAAACGTTTGCAAAACGGAGCATATATAATTCAGTGTTTTTAAGTGACTATGCGCTATGATGTACTTGTAAGTGTTTATGTACGAGAGAAGACCAAAAAGCAGATATATACGTAGCAAATACAATATGTTTTTTGTTTCATCGCTTATTTTGAAGAATTAGTTAATTCTAAATTTTGTGTTCGCCAGACGCTGCAAGAAATTTCAATGAAAATTTTCGTATTCAGAAATACGAAGAAGTTTTTTTTATTATTAACAAGATTTGTATTGCGACAAACAATCTTCTATTCTATCTTCATTCTAATCTACATACCATTTATGCATTTGTTAGTTTTATTTACTAGTATTTATTTATATATATTTGATATATCTCCGAAACATTTCACGTCACATATGAATTAGATGTTATTATAGAATATATTATAAAATGTATTCTGAACTTTTTTTATGTTTCGTCTTAGCATATTTTCATTGGAATTTGTTGAAAAAATTGATGAGTATAATATTTAGAATTTTTTCAATATCAAATAAATGATGAAAGTAAAACAAATCATATTTTCTACCCATCTTTTGTTCGCACTTGCACTCTTTTATATATGTATCATAGCGCATATTCATTTAAAAACGCAGAATTGTATATGCTGCTGCTTTGCAAACGCTTGAGAGAATGCGACGCCGTATTAAAAAACTATTAACAGAATGTTTGCCCGTTCAAATAATGAAAACGGAGGAGCAAGCATGCAAATGGTTGCCAATTAGCAGTGTTACTACTGTTATTGATAACGTTAAACAAAAAGCGCATGAGATTCTCCTAATCTCGAGTATTTAAATTAAATGTGGCTAAGAAATTTGCTGTGGTCGATCGAATGATTTAAAAATTGTGAAGAAGACGTTCTCGTTAAATTTTGCAAGCTAGCAGACATTGTAGGCATTTTAAAAAATATTGAACTTTTGCTGATAATTAGAATATGAATTAGAATTAGAATTTCTATTCGCCTTAAAAAATTATGTTCTCTTGATAAACCAGAGGAGTACGGCTCGGTGATAGAAGGGGCTATATTAGTTCTAGTATAAACAAGTGAACAAACCTATTGTAAAACTAGGGAAAGTATGGCGACCTAGAGGACTGCTGTGTTGACAAATGAAGACATCTTTTTCCAAATTTTTCTTCTCTGATCTGGAACTATACTCATTGGATATATTAAAAAAATTTTTCAAAACTATCCAATCAAGCTGTCTAAAGGTGCAGTTTGATTAAGTGAGACGCATCTATTAATAAAAGAACAACTTCAATTAAAGATTTGCAGCAAGAAACAGAGAGCAGCTTCTGCACTTACATATCGAGCAGCTATACTAAAATTTGCATTCTTGCTTTTATAGAGAATCTTGAAGATTTCTTTCTAAATAGTAATAAATAATTATATTATTATCATTTCATTTAAATTTATTTCTGTTTATTATTATAGTTTTAAAACTTCAAAAGGTGTCGGTTATACTGCACACTTTGTTGGCAACTGCCTAGTATTAACTTCAATGAAAGTTAAAGGCAAAGGCTTTCAACATTGTGTTAAATATGAATTTCAACCAAGAAAGGTAAGTTTTAAGTAATTGAATCACTTAGCCTTATTATTTTAAACTCAATTATGCATTTGCACATAAGAATATAATTCACTTATATTATATACTTCTCAAGTATAAAAGCGCGGTGAATGGAAAAGAAAGCTTAGGGTTTATGGGCATTCAAGAGCATTTCAGAGTTGACGGTTTAGCTTTGATATCGCTTGACTCACAACGCAGTGAAGCAGTTCAGCTTTTTTTAGAGTCTGTAACTACTAATAGTCAATTTTAAATCCACTAAGTCCACGCGAGTTTGTAAAAACATAACATAACCGAGGTAGAATCATATGCTAGAAAAACACTTCTTTTGATAATAGATTTTCTTTCCGCTTTCTTACTTAAGTATTTCGAGCGATTTCGGAGGACAAAAGAACAAAAAAAATTAAAATGCCAATAATAATTTCGTAAAAAATTATAATTTTGATGAGACAATGGCAATAAGTGTATTAATGCATCGCTGTCGCTGAAGAAGAACGAGCGTTCTTTTCTTTTTTCTCTACTTTGACTAAGAGCAGAGAGAGTGAGAGATCACACAGTTATTATTAGCTCTTGAGGAACCTTGAAACATTTACGTATACAGTCATAGAAGACACTAGTAATTCTATGTTTCGTTTTCTTTTTTTATTTCGTCTTTAGTGGTATATGATAGCAATCGTTTATATTTATAATCGTTGGACAAAAAGTGAAATAAAGTGCCTCGTAAATGGACAACTAGCGTCCAGTACTGAAATGGCGTGGTTTGTTTCAACAAACGATGTAAGTTTTCAATTACTCAGATAAAGAAAGAGATCTCTTTATCTCTTTAAATAATTGTTTGTTAAATTTATTATTACATCATTGCAGCCTTTTGACAAATGTTATATAGGAGCGACACCGGAATTGGATGAGGAACGTGTTTTCTGTGGCCAAATGTCAGCAATATATCTGTTTAGTGAAGCTTTGACAACACAACAAATTTGTGCCATGCATCGACTGGGGCCAGGATATAAGGTAAATCTTATTTTGCATTAAAGAAAAAGAAAAAACTACTAGTAATTTTTTTCAATTTTTTCCTTAAATTTATAAAAACAAAAAAAAAAAAAATGTTTTAGTAAGCAACACTTACATACATTTGTATATTCTTATCTCTCTTTTAAAAACTTTTTTTATCTTTCTCTCCTTCTTTCTCATACATCTTTTGTATGTACGTTGTCTAAAATGCCTGCACTCTGACTGTATATCTCACCGACTAATAAAAACAAAAATTGTCTAACACCGCCCGATATCTGTCAATCAAAAAAAAAAAAAAAAAAAAAAAAAAAATTATCATAATGCTATTATCATTTACGTATATGTGTAATGTATCTTCCTTTCTTTTTCTTTTTTTCTTTTTTTTTTTTCTTTTTCCTTTTGTATATATGTCTGATTGTAAACTATCGTCCAAATGCGAATGTTGTCTTCGTGCAAACTTTGAAATTCAACTTGAAACAGTCGCAATTTCGTTTCGATAATGAGTGCTATCTGAACCTGCCGGATAATCATAAAAGGGTGAGTCAGCCACAACAACAGCAACAACAACTACAGCAACAACAGCAACAAACCCAACAACAACAACACCAACAATTGCTACGTTCTAGAAGTATATCAATGGCCGAACAAGATGCCCAAACCATTGACTGGTCAGATGAGAAATTGGATTTACAAGCAGCATTTGTTAAAATTAGGGCCGTATTGGCGGCACGTAATGCCAGCACAAATGCTGCTGTCTTACAAACACTGACCGGCAATGGTAGCGGAGCCATTATTGATAATAGTAGTAGTATGAAAATAGAAAATTCCACAGCAATAACATCTAACAGCACAGAACAGACTAACATGCATAGTAGTTCAGTGGCTGCTCATGATGCCTGCAAATCCTGCAGCATTGATACGTTGAGTTACATACCTACAGGCTTCGCTTCCTCAATCGGTATTTATTTTTAATTTTGTTACTTTTGCTTTTCTTTATATTTGTTTTCTTTTCTTTTCTTTTTCTTTGTTTTTTTATTGTTTATTGCACTCTTTACAATAAATACCCTTTACTAAGAATTTTCTAGAAAGCTTTGTTCTTATTTTCTCAAGAATTTGAAATCATTTTAAAACTTAATCGTTCTATCGATTTGTTTTTACCTTCTTTTATTTGAAATACAAGTCAAAACAGACAAGTATTATATATTGCTTTAAAAGCGAAAATATTTCTTCGCCAATTTTATTACATCCGCCATCAAAGACAGAGTTTCCCCTCTCATATGTAACGCCTTGAAAGTCTTGATGACTATAGGAATTCTAAATATTTAAAAATTCATACAAAGCTTACTCCTTAATCCGGAACGTTTCTCGCATCAACGAAAGGTTTTTCATAGTGCACTTTTAAGAGGAACCGCTTCACAACCAAAACCAGATATATAAAATGAATATATAAAAACTTGGCCGTTTAGTTCAGTCAATAAATTTATGTACGCGCGTGAAACTAATGAGCTTACGTGTGCGACCTTTTAAATGTAAAAATCAATCTTAATTGGTTTTCCTAAGAGATGCAGTTCTTTTCTTTATGAAAATTTCTTCAACTCCTGACTCCTTCATGTGAAGGTACTACCTTTAAAGTTTTCATGCGCTATAACTCGTGCCGCTGACGTGTGCAGATCATCTTTTTTTGCAGCTTTAAATAAATCGCGGTCGATGCAAAGGTACTTTTCCTATCTAATTCGAAGGATACTATTCTTAGTGGGGTGCACTCGTTAGATAGTGGAATATCTCTCTTGCCATTTTTGGGGTGATTAATTGGATGTAGAGTGTTTTAGAAGAAGCTCTTCCAGCCAAATAAAGAGGTCACTGAGGCTTCACCAACATCAAGAATGCTCCAACATGAAGTGGCGATTTTTTCGGCAAGACTAAATTCGGGCCCACATGGCGTGGCTCTCATAAATTACTAGCGACGTTAAACTGGAATGTAATAACCGTCATTGACTTGAATCGACGGTTTCACTTAAATATTTTTTATCCCTTCAAAAGTAGTTTTGTTTCTTATCGGCGCTTAGCTAAATAGCGTTAAAAGGTTAGTTGTCCTCGCAGCACGTAATTTGCATCCTGTCAGAAAAATGCCTGGGAAAAATGCAGAGCTATCAATAAAATTAAATATATTATAAATATATTCTACTATTCTCTTGGAAATACCGCCATCTTTTTTCTGATAAAAAGGTCGATCAGGATTAATTTCCAGTCTTGATGTTTACGTATGCTAGTTTCGTGACCATATAGTATTATCAAAAACCAAAAACATTATCAGTGTAAGTTTCCAATTATTTTACCCATGTCCGTCTATGTGTCCATTGTTTTTCATTTGACTTTCGCAATATCGAAGTTTCGATATTCTTAGGTTAATGTATTTAAAAAACGAAGGGAGTTTCCAAGTTTGTTTATTGCCATTGATATTAGAAATGATAGATTATCTCGCATCGATCGCATTAAAGCTGATATATGCTGGTTGGCTTAAAGAGTAAGAGGAAAATCTAGATAAAGGGTATTTAGAATTTCATTTTAAACTAAATGCATACATCATATATTTCTGTATGGTTTCCTTCTATTTTATATAAAATTAATTTTATTTTTTCTTTTTTACTTTTTTCTGCCTTTTTTTCGTTTTCTTCTTAATTGTTTTTATTTTGTTTCCGTATCTGTTTATAATTGTTTTTTGCTCTGCTGTATATCTGCCTGCCATCTGTGCGTATCTTTTTGCGTACATTTAGATCACTTGAGACGTATGTCGTCTTCATCGTTCTCCTCTTTGGATTATATACACGGCTTTGGCGGTAATGTTGAAGAGCTGAATCAATTAAAAATTGTAAGCAGTTTTGTTTTTTTTCTTTATTTTCTTACTATTTTCAATTAATTTTAATTTTCTTCTCAATTTTTTTTTTTTTTTTTGTTAACAATTTTTTTCGATTTACTTTCTTTGCTTTTATTTTACGGCCGTTTCAACGAAAGGAATCTTTTTTTCATTTAAATTCAAATTGATTTGCTGGTAGGAGTTTAGAAAATATTTTTCATATTATTGTTGTTTCGTGTTCTCATTGTCTCTCTACGTGTATGTATGTGTGTGTGTGTGTGTGTGTGTAGGTGTACATATAATTTTAGCCCTGAAGCTTTTTCCAATTAAACATGATTTTTTGTTCACTGACACTGAGCCAAAGGGTAAGAGAACTTTGTTAGCGAAAAAACAACTAAAACAAACCGTTTTAACTGAATTCTTTTAATTATCGAAATTATTAGAGTGTAAACCAATAAAAATCAATTGAATTAAACAGAATCAAAAAAACAGAAGAGAAAATAAAAGAGAAACAGCCACAACAACATTCGCATCAGAGCCTTGCAGCCTTCATCATTTATTTATGTATAGCACTTTTGAACACATACACACACACACACACATGTATATATATATATATATATATACACATCAGAGTGAGAGAGAGAGAGAGGCACACACACACACACACATGAACACAGGGCCATAGAAAAACTACTTAAATATGCATTGGAATGTGTTTTTATGCCCGAATAGAGCTAATTGTACAGTTAGTTAACTAATCAAATGTGGCTTAGTTGTTGTTTTTATTGTGGCGTTTAAATCGTATTTTAGACGTTTAGCTTTTTGATTTAATGTAATTTCGCTTTAAAAGTTCACTCAATTAAAAGAAAAAAAAAAAGTTCTTTTTAAATTAATTTTTGATAAGCAAAATTCAAGTACACTTGACTTTCGGTGCATTGAGTTTTTTTTTTTTTTTTCATGTGTACATGCATACGAAATTAATTTGAATACTTATTTCATATGAAAAATTGACGTGCATAAATAATGTATATTCGCAACGGAGTGAACATAACTTCAAGGTTGAGACATTGTAAGAAGGGAAAATATTTCATTTGCATTCGTTTAATTATTGGTGATTCAATTACTTCGTTAATAGTCATTTTATTCTTATCATTGAGTCCATACTCATATATGCGATAATTTTTATTCTTCAAGGATCAGGCAACTGTGGTAAGGGTGAAAACATAAATAACGAGAGACAGACAGACCGAAAAGAGCTCGTGTACAAATCCGTAAAGTAAAGAATACGGCAAGCGGAAGCAATTAAATCATATGAAATCTTTGTCGAAATAGTCAAATAAAAAACACTTAAAACAAATTCGCTCATTTTGTAATTAAAGTTAGTATCAATTTTCAATTGCCTATGGTATTTGGATTTTCTTATCAATTAATGTGTACGATGTGTGTGATCGGATAACCTATTGCCCTTTTTTCTGCTAAAACCGTCATTCCAGACCATTATTCTAGAATTTTTGGTACTTGTTGCCAAAGAACAGGGCCATATAAATATCACGAGATGATGTACGCTACGGAAAAAGGTTTGAAGATAATAAAAGAGATGATGCTCGCACAAGATTCAAGGACGAACGATGAATGAATTAAAATTTTACGGACAAATTCTCTTCAATTTTGCGGAGCGACTAAAATTTTGTGCAATCAATTTTGGCTGCTTTACTTCAATTTGGTGCTTTAATCGCTTTACTTGATGACAGCAGAATGTGGTGGCACCTAACCACACACAAAGCATTACCTTAGGTCGCCGTCAATGCGGACTTCGCCATCACTTGTGCCGATTCATTTATCTTCAACCACCTATTTTCCGCCGGAATGGCCTCATTTCGCTTCGTTCTAACAATAACTGGCAGATATAGTCATTGCTAGTTCGGATAGGGTTTCTTTTTTCTATTACTCAGCCTTATGGAAATGAATAGAAAGTACAATTAAGGTCAATTGACCTCAACGATTCCGCAACAATGTCGTAAGGCGAAATCTCGGTCGTATGGTTCCTTCTTAATTTTTGGAGAAATTTCATCGACTTTATTAACCGTTGCTCGAGTAGGGAGCGTGATGCATTCGTAAATACCGTGAATTTTTCAGTAAATCTACCAAAACGTGATCGTCTAAACCAAAGTAAAATAATAAAATATAGCAAATTGTTCTCGAATTTTGGATCATTTTTGAAACTTAATTAATTTAAACAGTGTTTATACATTAACAAATGCGATAATGATTCATAGATCATTATCTCTTAAACGCGCTATATGGTATGGCTCTGTGTTCCCAATGTTACCAAAGTTGCGCAACTCAAAATTCTACTGCGAGAAATTCCTTTTCGTGGATCAAAATTTTAATGAATATTTGCTAAAATTTATTTATTGTGAAAAATATCTTAACATTTTCTAAACTTCCGTTAGAAATAGAAGGGCAAGGCTCGCTATAGTTCCGCCCCGCATTAATTTAACTTAATTTAAATTATTTAGCTTGGAGAATATGCAGAAAAATGGTTACGAAACAAAATCACTGTAATGGGCCACAGCCCACCATTGAATATCCTGCATCGCTCTACGGTTACACAGATAAGGACTTTTCAAAATAAGACATTATATTATGAAGTAGTCAAAAAATTGCTCGGATCGGAACCATTTTCAATAGAGTTCGTCCTTGGATCCATACAACTCAGTGTAGCAGATTTCATCAAAGTATCTCAAAAATTGTGGCGTATAGATTGAACGCAAGAGAACAAGACAAACGGACGGATAGACAAACTTATTTATTTCTCGATGGCGATGACATTAGTACAAACTTAATATACACTTGCTATACCCATTTACCACGGTGTACGGTGTAATGAATCGTTCTGCAAACCATAAATAAATAAAGAGAAAAATAAAGAAAAGTCATATCGCACGTGCACATGTCTCGTCGTAACAGAGCCACAACGTATCAAATTTTATTCATACGTGTTTTTGAGAAAAACACAAACACGTTGTAGGAAGAGCGTACATGCATACATATAATATGTGATGATCACATAGACTACTTAATGCTTTGCGATTATATTTATTATAATTTTTGTTTTCTCAATACGTATTTCAGGTACTTTACGATGGTAAATTATCAAATGCCATTGTATTTATGTATAATCCAGTGGCAACCGATGGTCAACTATGTCTGCAATCGGCTCCCAAAGGCAATGTATCATATTTTGTACATACACCGCATGCACTTATGTTACAGGTAAGTTTGTGTTTACTTTTCTTTTTTCTTTTTTTGCCTTTGAAAAATATATATGAAAATCGTGTAGAGCCATAAAGTTTCTCAAGCATAAATTTTAAGTGCTCTCTAGGGTATGTTTTTTTTTAAACTCTTATGTGTCGACTTTGCTTAGTTTTTATATATGTGAAAAATGTATTCAATGTTGTCGTACAACAAATTTTCAGTTTTATATAAACTTCTCCTATTTCTTTACATTATTTTTTTTTTTTTTTTTTGTTTTCTTCGTTTTTTTTCATTTTTTTTTTTATTTTCTTTTTACCTCTTTTCTCCTTTAGGACGTTAAGGCTGTTGTTACACATTCCATACATTGTACTTTAAATTCAATAGGCGGCATACAAGTTTTATTTCCATTATTCTCACAATTGGATATGACGCATGAGGGTATAAATGATATGAAACGTGATCCGACGTTATGGTAAGTTGTGTTTAGTTCGGTTATTGTTTGTTTTGCTTTCGCTATTTTTTCTCAAATTTTTGATTAAATCTTCCATGCATTTTTGAGATTTTTTTGATAAACTGTACAAGTTTTTTCAGTTCAAAATTATTGGGTTTCATTTGTGAATTGGTGGAAACATCACAGACTGTACAACAGCATATGATACAAAATCGTGGTTTCTTAGTTATTTCGTTTATGTTGCAACGTTCCTCGCGTGAACATTTAACTTTGGAGGTTTTAGGTTCATTTCTCAACTTAACAAAATATCTCGTGACATGCCTATCGGCCAACAGTGATTTGCTATTAAAGCAGGTAATTATCGCAACATTTCACTCTTTACAAATATTTCTACATATTTTTATATAAAAATATACATATATATATAAAAAAATTATAATAATTTAAATATTAATTTTTTTTTTTTTTAATACAAAATATTTTTTTCAATTACTTGAGAAATGAAAAACAATAAAGCATGTTTGAATACATGTTTGTGTTTTATTTGACTTCAAATTAATTAACCAAAAAAGAAAAAAAAACCTTTTCTATATTAAAATTAGTGATCGGAAAAGTTAAAAAAAAGGAAGAAAAATAATAATAATAAAATAAGCAAAAAAAAAAAAAAAAAAAAAAAACCTAATGCATGACAATGATTTCACAAATATTACTACGTTTTGGTAATGAATTTCTTTTTTATATGATTTCTTGGTGTGTGTCTTTTATTTTTCTATTTTGTTACAGTTGAACATGGGCTTGCGATCTCCCTTTAAAAAAGTAACTTTTATTTCTGAATACAGTTGAAAACAATTGCTTATCCTTATTCTATTCGTTCCAAATCATTTAATGTTATATAATACTATTCTCTGTGTTCTATAAAACATTTCAATTTTTCAGTTATACATAAGTAGCATAGAAAATTTTTATATACGTCGATTCAAAATATTAAATGTGCTATAATCAAGTTGATTAGTTAAGTTACCAACGGATTCGAATCAATTCTATTAAGAGTACCAGTTTTCAGTTATTTATCTCAATTGCAAGATGTAAACACGTGTAGATACTCTCTTAATTGAATAGAAGAACAAAGTATGAGGGGGGAGAAGGATTGACTGCTAAGCTAATACGACGACAGGCGATCGAACAGAACGAAAAAGCTAAAATATATATAAACAGATAACTATCGAAAAGCCCGAAGAGATATAGCTTAGCAAACCAGGAATTTTGAATTGATCAAAGCTAAATACATTCCTCCGCGTATATGTGATTTGTATAAAAAAAAAATGAACTTCATCGCGTTCATTACGTAAGTCGTCTCAGCAAAATTCTCTCAACTCGTACGTATGTAAAATATAAGTTGAATGACTTGTGCTCGCGCGGAGATCAAACGGTTTTAGTTTCATGGATTCTTTTTGTGGTGCAAAATTTTATAAGAGTTTCCCTTGCGCAAAATAACGTTCATCGATCGTGTCTTCAATGTCTCACTAAATCCGATCCCAGTTTTTTTCAAAACATATAGGCTGACCGCTTGGAAACTGGCTTTGGAATCTATGGTATTAGATCCGCATGAGAAGCCAAATTGTTAAGAATCGCGGCCACCAAATGAGTGCTGGCGGATTCAAACCTCAGTGCGGTTGCGCTTACTTCGGTCGTAGCCATAGTGCGTACAGGCACACACCCACTAGGTTGTGGCCACCACCTAGCTATTTCTTTGTTTCTTTCGCTTTCCTCACGTGTGTCTGACTACCACAGCACTATGTGAATAGGGGGTATGCCCTGAGCGCTTGATTATATAAAATAAAGAAGAAGAATACCATCGATAGTCATTAAATTATTCAATAAAGCGATGTTCATCAAAAACCGGTTAAGTCGCATTAACACTTTTTCCCTATTCGGCGGACAGCAACTTGGATACACAATTTGTTCACATTCTGGTTTGAAATTGACGTTTACTTGAGAAATCAGAAATGAAATTAACGCAGCTGTTCGGGAAAGTCCTTATTTGATGAAATTTTTTCCCTCTGACGGCGCATACATTTGTCATCCAATTTATATTAGAGGAGTCATACATTCGTACATTTCGCCCTACGTTGTCCATGTTCTCTATCTTAACCGCTTTTGAATAAAAGATTCAGAAAAAGAAAGGCGCCTTTCATGGACAAAGTGTCATAAAGGAAAAAATCTTTTGCAATAGAATTTTGACTTTACAGGCGCTTCTCACTCCAGTCGGATGTCGCAACGTAGCTTCGGTCACAACAAAGTCACAGAACATAGCCTCAAAATATATCCATCATCTTTGATATTAACTTGATATGTGAAAGGGGTTTGTTTGTAGATTCACTGATATTCTCATTCTATGATATCGGAAATAAAAACCAAGCATTTTTACGATATCTGTAGCGTTACGTTTTCAAGAATCAATAATTCCATTGGGAATAATTTTCACGCCGTATTTTCTCATGATTTTCAACGTTGAAAAATATATACCCAAGAATATTCAAATCGCACCCTTGGAAATTGTAATATATTGAAACCAAAAACTCTTGAGTCTGACGAGATCCATCTGAACTTGATCTGTAAAATTCACTTTCCAAGATGGAATTTCCTATCACAAGTTTTGCTATCGGTTCGAGCTAAAACAATGAAAAGAGAAACGGACAGATTTTCGGAAATAATTCATTCTTCTTCTTCTATTCTTAATAACATAATTAGAAAAATGTACTAATCATCTCACCTCTTCATTCTGAAAACCGAAAGACACATGCGGGTATTTAGCGATCTTTCAATTCATTGTCTTCATACTTTATTTTGGTTAAATCTACATTCTTGGAGTTTTGTACGTTTAAAGTAGTAGTTGCTTTAGAGTGCTCTTCAATTAGCTGATATGCACATATTTGAGGAGAAGATCTATGCTTACTTCTAATGTGAATATGTTAACTATTTGCTTTTACTACATTCAGTTCTCTTCTTTACCTCCTTTCACACCAATCACTTGCTTTTTCACCATAAAGAACACCGTTGCTTAATTATCGTATCATTTTCGTGGCAGTTTGAACTCCAAAAATCGCCTCTAGATAGGTTTCGTTCATGTGATATGCTTAAGTTTCTTTACGCTAGTTGACCTATTTCATGGGAAATCGAGTCCAAAATGTGTATGCGTGAAATGCGTATACAAAACATGCAGATGAAAATGGTACGATTTTTACGTTACCACGCAATTATCATCATTTTCACACACATATTATAATTGAGTTTATTAGTTCTATTAGGTAGAAATATTATAAAAAATGTACATCAATTTTTTTGTAACCATCACTGGAGGATGAAATAATAATGACTTGGTCGTTCCATTTCCAAATGTACGCAGATGTCGTTCATTAACCTAAAATTCCGATTCCGAGTCGATGCGTTTAAATTCGTTTCGTTTTTGACACATCCGTACAAAGAAATTCTTGTTTCACGTGAATTTGAAGTAAGAGTAAAAAAGCAAATCTTTGGAAATAATTTTGAGTAAAGTTTTCGCTTTGTCCAACTTCAACTTCTTTAACATGGGTTCCTATGGACATGAATGGAGTATTTGTAGTCCATCGTAGAGCAATGTTGCCATGCCAATGAGCCTCTAGAAAGCTTCAACACAAGTTTATTTATTTATTTCAAAGTTTCTTTCGTCCGGACCTTCCCATAAATGATTGATTTTAATGTTGATATGTATATATTGGCTGCAGCATTTTTCTTGTTTTTGTAGTAAGTAATGGTAAAATGACGGCATAAACGATTGACTGTTGAGAGATCCTCTCTCTAATCCTGCAATGAACGTTCTCAGGTATTCTACATAAACAAACCAGCTTAAGCATAGCAAAGTAGCGACGACAAACAATAAATGAAAATCAATTATTGCTTCGTTAAATTATGTCGACTTCGATACATATATATTGAAGTATCTATGCATAACAATGCTACGAATTAAAAAAACAAATACTACTGGTTTGCAAGGAATAGAAAAATCGGCAAGAACTTTGTTCACAGCATTCAGGTCAATCACCTGATTTTATGCAATTGTCATAATTTTTCATTTAAAAGACAAATAAATATTTGAAAAGTACTCAAGCAGAGATTTAATGAAAGAAAGGGCCGTGAAAGTTTAATACAACTTTTTATATTATTTTATCTCATTATCATCACTTAGTTTAGCCAAGTGGTTGGTTTTCTATGATTTGTTTAATGTAATGCCTGGTAACAAAAGAAGGGAAAATGAAATTTGATCCACCCCTATATGAACAAAATGATATGACGAATACACGCAGAGTGAAAGCTTCACGTTGGCCACAATCTTTAAAAAGGATCCTCAATTTTGTTTGCCCTTGAGATGTTTTCATTTAAATATCTACGACGTACACTCGCAGTGGAACATATTTTGCAAATCGATATAAATAAATATCTTCTATCGAAGTTTCAGCCAAGAGTCGCACCACTTATGGCGCACCATTTAAATACGTGCGAAGAGTCGTTGCGTGTGAAAATGCCGAAAGTCCTGAAAGGATTTTCACAGACGAAAGCATGTATCACAGACGTAATTGAACAATTGTGTACTCTAAATGCAGTCATTATTTTATATTATTTTTGGATTTATTCGGTCAATTTTACCAAGAACTGCAACGTCGAACTTAAAATTTAATATTTTAACTTGGCGCAAAGTTCACATCTACGACTAATAATATTTACGATAGTCACCCTAACTATAGCGTAACACATCTGGGTTTGTGAAAGCCTGCAGACGAGCCTTAGCATCTAGGACGTGCTGCGCAAGTAGCGGTACTTGTACGCAATGATTCAATCGGAAGGCCTCAAAATAATGTTTTAAATTGGCAAAGCTCACTAACTGCCGATGTCAAATACAAAGATATTCTCATTTCACAATTTCCATACTAGAGTCATGAACATAGTCGAGATGAAAAGATTTGCTGTAAAGTGCAGTGTTTTACAAATGAGCACAGTTACCATGGCTGAGATTAATGGACTTTGTAAAAAAAACAAGTTTATAGTCGGACAACGCCGTCCACTTGGCCTAGTGCAATTATCCACTCGTTTTGGTAATAATAGCCCAAATATCGAGCGTTATTTTCATACAAAGGCACACTTCCCATGGACGCCCGCTTATTCGAGGATGACCATATTTCACGTCATAACGTGAGCTAATGTTGCGGAAACTTTATTTACTTCCTACAAATTTTATAATTTTTTATTTCCCATTATAAAAAACAAGAAATTAGATTTTTCTCTTCCCATAAGGGCCTGCTTTTCTTGATAACTGTTATTTATGTTGGAGTCTAAAATACAGACCAATGTTATTCAAATTTCCTATAGTTAATTGTTTCTACTCAGTCGCTACTATCGACCAATTTTGATCATAAGATATTAAACATTTTCCGGAAGGGGTTACCATTTATAAGAAATCTTATAAGGAACTCTAAGACATACGCCCATGTGGTTTAAATTATGTTCACTTAATTCTTATGTCTAGTTGCTTGCAACTACGCGTTGGCGGCATATAAGGGCTTACATATCCTGAGAAACCTTATATGCGGCAACATCCAAGAATTAGATCTCCGTGATTTAAATTCTGTAATGTTACCAAAATGAATACGCCCCATCCTTCGGTGATGGGCATAATAACAATAATACGCTTTGAAAGCTATTTTCAGCTGTGATTTACCACAACAAATATTTTAATGCAATAATTATTTCTACGATATCTTCACTTCACAAATGTAAAGGAAACTTGGTAGACATTTTTATTAATAACGTTTGTATGAATTATGCTGCAAGAATTTTATTTGTAAATATTACTCATACGACACCTTAGCTACAAATTTTAATAAAAATCTATGCAAATACAATATGTTTGGGGAGAGTTGTTGATTTTGATTCATAAAGAGCATGACGTCATTTGTTCCGTTTTTATTTATTTTCCTTAAATAACATAGAACACGGAAGGGCATGAAAGTTTCAAAGATGATAGTTTTTTTGATGAATTTTCTTCCTAATATTTGCCATCTTTTACCATATCATCTTTCTTTCTCTCTCTCTCTCTCTCTCTCTCTCTCTCTCTCTCTCTCTCTCTCTCTCTCTTTCTCTCTTTCTCTCTCTCTTTCTCTCTCTCTCTCTCTCTCTCATTTCTTTCCTAATGCACACGTAATAAAAATATCCTTTAACTTAATACGAAAACCGCTACTAATAATATCGCTCTATGCGTTTTTCTATTTTATAAAACACAACAACTACAACACTATTCATATATATTTTCTTCTTTCTTTTTTTTATATAATTTAATACAAACTTTATGCTCGTCCTGTACCACCACCAAACAAAATATAAATTATTACAATTTAAACAAAAAAAAAAAAAAAAAACACATGCCATGTTTTCTAACACCCAACTAAACAGTTTTACCAGGTGAAAATGCTAAAACAACCAAAAAGAAAAATAATAATAATAATAGATTTAAAATGTTCTCTTATTGAAAAAAATTTTAAAATATTTTTTATGTTAAAGTTAATACCCATAAATGTTCCTCTTTTAGTTGAGTAAATGTAGTATATTTACATATCTATATTTATATAATATTTGTGTATTTTTCTAAAATTTTGCAAAGTTAAAAACCAAAAATTTATGCTCGCTTTTCTGACATAAAAAGGAAAAAGTAAAGATCAATTAAGGTTTTAACGTAACCATCCCCTTCTCATAGCAATGTAATATTTGTACTGCATTTAGAAGTACTCTCCATGAACGTTGTAAATAATTTATATAATATTAATGAGTGTGAGCTTCTGACGTTAATCACGTTAATCATGTCGCGTTAATCAGTCCGTGCGTTATGTTGAGATTCTCTAGCGCGTTAATTTCAATAGACAAAACCGAAATTTAATTTGATCATATTGATAACTTAAAGAAAAGGAAGGGGGTGAAAAACCCAATTCCAAAGGAATTTCGAATTCACTCTTTCAACAAGCAACTTGCTGTGCCGACTTCGATTTATTTCATCATGCAATTTATATTGATAATTTGAAAGTTTGGAACAAAAATGACTCCAGTCAACAGGAATTGATTTGTCATAACTGACACCGCCACAGTATATTCACTACATTTGCTTAAGGCGATGGTTGCCTTACTTTTTCCTTTCTATTAAATTAAAAAATAAGAAATTAAAAAAAAAAAAAAAATTAAAACAAATTTAATTAAATGAAAAAATAAATAATTTGAAGAAATTACATATATATCTGTATTATATACGAGTATACGTGATGGGTATATTACTACACCACGTGTTTGTTCGTCAAGTTATACCGTACCATACCTTGTAAATCTGTTGCTGTTACAAAATTGTGCTTTCGACTTTGTTCTTCGTCTTATTTCAAGCCTTCTTTCAATTCTTTACTTAATTTTACTTTAAAAAACTTTTACTTTTCTTCTTTTTTTTTTTTTTGCTTTCACACATGCTTAAGATTTAATGTTATAGTAACACATTTAATACACTTATACTGAAACATGATACTTCAACAACATTTTCCATTTCGTTTCAAATTTGTTATCTTGTATGTTGTCTTTGTTTGAAAAACACTTTTTTTATGCATGACAAAGTATATGCAAGAAAGTAAGCGCGAAGAACGTCTCAAATCATAACACTACCAAGTTAACGTACGCAGTCTCGTGATTGTAGTGACATCGATATAGTTTAGGCGCTTTCATATCCGGCACTATAAATATTTCATCGTCCTACTTATATTGACGAGAGCTAGCTAGAAGAAATTTCGCAAAGTGGATAAATTCTTTATTAGCATTAATTTTTTAAGAAACAAGTTGATTAATGTCTGCCCTTTCCATCAATTTACCCGTCTTCATATCCGTGAGAGTCAAGTAGTATTTCTGCATGTCACTATGCCCATCTGCATATTGATGCATTCCATTCATTGATCTACACAATTGTTTCTACCCTCAACGGCTGTCATTTTATATATATTTTCTCGTCCTTCCGTTATGATCGTACGTTCTATGTTGATGCATACATGCTATGTCCATCTCTACATTGATACGTACCATTCATCTATCTATACAATTGTTGATGCTCTTAAGAGCATGGTTACTACATATGCGTTTCTATCCAACCATCATAATGATTCATTCTGTATTGATGCATAGATTCATCGGCCTATATGTATACTTATACATTGGTTATTTCTTGCGCTGGTCATCTATCGATTTGTCGCTTTTTTTCATTACCACTGTTAAATTGAATGTCGACTTTCTGATCACGTGTCTCTCTTGGTCTAGAATTTAAACTTGTTTAAACTTGAAGTAAAAAAAAAACGTTTAGTACATTTTTACATGTACAAGCAAACGAAAACGTTATTGTCGGCAATGTCGGCTGTTAAATGCCCCCTGCACCACTTCGCCTAATGGAAATCTTCTCATTCATATAAAAATTTATTTTGCGAGGAAAGGTCCGGAAAATAGACGTATTGAAAACAATTGGAAGAAAAATGTTTTGAATTATTCGAAACCTTAAAAAAAAAAAAACTGAAAATAGCGAACCTGCGTTAATTTAATGACGGTAGAAATATTACTATTCACTTGAATGGTTTATCAAAATCAAGTCTACCCACTTTGACGGCGACAGCCGAATAGAAGATGTTGCTGAGAATAAGAGCTCGTTCGGCTTCTAGACGCTAGTTTTCATCACATTCACATCATTCGATGTATATTTGTCGCCAAGTCTTTTTATAACAAAATACATATTTGAAATGCTAATGCTCCACGTATATAAATAAAGAGGAATAGCGGGGACCGTCTTACTCTTATCGTTCTTTTAACGACGACTATTTAACGTTCAAAACCTGGGACAACCCCCGGTGTAGAGAGAAAACCTTGCAAATTTCAAAAATAAAAATTTTCCCGATATTAAATCAGTCAACGTTGAGGTTATATTCGCTTTTTTGGTCGTCAAAGATCGGGCCCACTAGGCTGCAGCCACCAGCTCCCGATTTCTTTCTCTTTCCTCTCTTCTTTCTAATAGCCACCGTGTTACACGAATAGGTGACATAGCCTAAGTGATTGACCACATTAAAAAAAAGGAACAAAATTTCCAAAACTCTAAGACGATTATTGTTTAAATTTTAGCTTCGAGTAATTAAATTAGTAGTCCCTTATTTTTGGTTTTAAATTTTTAATCATACTCTTTTCCTTCACCTAAGCACGTTGAACGTCTCATTATCTACTTTCTTAATAGGGTTTAAATGTCGGATGGAGAGAACAAAGTTGTGTTTGTGTTCGCTCAGAACTTATTAACTTAAAGTACTCAACCTGTCGTTTATCGTATACAAATGTTGCCGTTCGTCCACCGACAGTGATTATACTTTTAATAATAAACCTTCTTACGCAATGCTGTAAATGAAGATATCATTCTTGCTTATTGAACAAATAAATGTAATAATTTGTCGAAGCAAGCGAAAATATTTCAATGAGATATGGCTCACTATTAAATACCCTACAACAGCCTACAGTTATTTATATAATAACTTTGCAAAATGAGGTGTTATATGGGGAGTGGTCGAAAAGTTGGTACGATCCGTATCATTTTCAATAGCGTTCGTCCTCGAACCAAAATGTTTTTGCATTGGTGCATTAAATGTGACCAGAACTTTTCAAAAATTTCCACCTGTACAATAAATACATGAAAACAAGATAGACGGACGGACAGATAAGCTTATATCGATTCATAGCGTGACTCTGAATAGATCGCTACAATCATAGGTGCGTCTATCTCACGTACTTCTGGCTACTGCATACATCTGCACAAACTTAATATGCCTTCGTATCACGAGTGATGTAAGATTTAAAACGATTTTTAGTATAACTTGAAGATAATCCCCAGATCAGACTATGTTTACAGATTTGATCGTTCTTGCGAACATGTACAGTACAAAAATTGAATGCTATTTCGCTAGTAAGCGTAGGGAGAATACTGTGCTTTTAATATCTATGATTAATAAAAAAAAAACTTTATTGAGAAAAACATTTAATCGACTTATTATTGGCTAGTTAAGGCCGGCAAGCTATACAACAATTTAGATCATAGAAATTTTCAAGAAAATTAATTTTAATAGGAGCAGGAGATGTGGTAATGATAGTCTTGTGCTTTTTAATTTACTATATAAACTGTTGCTTGAATATGAAGCATTGCGATGTTTCGCATGCGCCTTATAAGTACAAGCTGTTAGTTATGCTTAAATTATCAATTTATGATGAAATGTTCAAGTCATATACAAAATCACATTGTCATGCATTTGATAACTTTATTGCATAACTTTTTTTACAAATTGTATACATTATTTTGAAAAAATTTCATTTAATTGTATCTTTTCTTTTTTTTAACATTTCATTTCATTTTTATGATGCATGCTGTTTGTACAAAAAAACAAAAAAAAAAACAAAAAATTAAATAAATAAATAAATAAAAAAACGTAAATTTCCATGTTATAAATGTTATTCCTATACTTTATGGCTTAATTCGACTACAACAACAATAACAACAATAACATCACTAATACATGTTTGTACATTTAAAAAAATAAAAATAAAATAAAAATAAAAACAACAACAACAACAACAACATTTCTAACTTCAACTATTTTACGTTGATTTGTTGCGAGTTTTTTGCCTTCGTTGATTCTTCTTTTACTCGTTTTTTGTGTGTATTTTACGTTACAACTGCTATTTACGCGAATGTCTGCCTGCCTGCCTGCCCGCCTGAAATTTTGCGTTCTTGTGATTCGAAAATTTTCAAATGCATTAAAACATGTATGTATATATGATCGTAAATGATATATCCAAAAATGTTAACTAAGTTAATTCTCTATGTATTTAAACACTAATGTAAAAAATTGTTTCTCAATGTTTTATTCTTTCTATTAAATTCAATCATATATAGAAATAATAAGTAATTTATTAAAATTAATTGATTTTTTTTGCGATATGTTTTTGTTTTTTCTTCCTTCCTTTCTTCCATTTTGTTTTCTGTTCCTTTTCTTTTTTTGCGATTTTTAGTTATTTTGCTTTTCATTTCTAACATGGCAGCTATTAGATCATGTCCTCTTCAATCCGGCTTTATGGATTTATACGCCAGCCAATGTCCAAGCTCGACTCTATTCGTATTTGGCTACGGAGTTCCTTAGTGATACACAAATTTACAGCAACGTTAGACGGGTTAGCACTGTCTTACAAACCGTGCATACATTGAAATATTATTATTGGGTTGTGAATCCACGCGCTAAAAGTGGTATTGTACCAAAGGGTTTGGGTAAGTAGAAGCGCAGTAATTGTGAAAAAGTAAACAAAACCAACAAAATGAAATTCTTTCAATTTTTCTTTTTTCTTTTTTTTTTTTTTTGTGTTTTTTATTTCCTTTATACAGATGGTCCTCGTCCCGCTCAAAAAGATATATTAGCTATACGCGCTTATATTTTATTGTTTTTAAAACAACTGATTATGATAGGCAACGGTGTCAAAGAAGATGAATTGCAAAGCATTTTAAATTATTTGACAACCATGCATGAGGTGTGATCGATATATTCTTTAATTTTTGTTCTTTTAAATCTCATTCACTTTGAAAATTTTATTTTTCTCCCTCCCCACCACCCCCCACCCCCCACCCCCCCACACCACACGCAGGATGAAAATCTTCATGATGTTTTACAAATGCTAATATCGCTTATGTCTGAGCATCCTAGCTCAATGGTACCTGCTTTCGATGTTAAACACGGTGTTAGAACTATATTCAAATTATTAGCGGCCGAAAGTCAATTGATACGCTTACAAGCTCTCAAATTATTGGGTTTCTTTTTATCACGCAGTACACATAAGTAAGTTGAAAATGTATACACGTCATTCCTTCCTCATCGACTTTCGATAATAGCTTATAAGAGAATTATGATCGTCTCGTTAGCAACTGTACTAAAAGTCAAAGTTTTTATTGAAGGCATCGTTCATCAAACTTCATCGCCTCTTGAAAAGCACCCAATGCATACATTTTTAGTTCTTTCAAATTGTCTCCTTATAATTATTAATATCAAAAACAAAAATGACAATGGTCATCATCAATTGTTATGCCATGAACTCGTTAACTGAAAAACGAACCACCACTAAATCAAGCAATCAAGCAATCAAGCCTGAAGTCTACTGAAGTTTACTATTAAAATTTGTTAAATATTTTATATTTTGTATTTTATTTGTTTAATTCGTTTTTCATGTAAGGCTTAGGATTAGGAAGTTCACAAATATTTACAAGTCTGTTCATGGGACGCGGTTGCTGATTGCCAACAACGGTTTGGAAGTGCAAACCATCATATAATGGAGGAGTGAAATTAAATCGCGTTATGTGAACTTTTTCCCTTCAGTTTTCAATTTTAATCAATATTGTGTACACGATTGTATGCGCAAAAATGACTAAAGACTGCGTTTTAATTGCAGCGCTTTGACAATTAATTTAGATTATCGCCAACGGTACTCCATACAGGCACAATGCCCTTAGTGTTCCCTGCAGCTTATTGAAGTGACTGCATTATGATAAGATGTTCAACCGTGAATTCATTCATACAAGTGAATATAAAGCCACCGGGAACCAATTCAGAGTTCAATAGAAAATCTGAATAATTATTAGCAAATATTGCAGACACATACGCTGCTCCATGATCGAACTGCAAACATATAGCAATGGCCGCCTTAAAACAAACTAAAATAAATGTCAGAGCAACCAGAGTAATGGAGACATCTTATTTGAACAATATGTTTCCGGATGAAGTGATTCAGTTTGGGCAGACATTCTGATCATTGGCATCTATGTGATATTTTTTAAGATCCAATGCAAGTAACTTCAGTATTAGGTGTATTTGAAATGTATGCAAATGAAAATCTCCATTAATGATTGGCCCGGAGCATGTCATCTGGTACTCTTCCTGAGAGCAGTGGCAGTGCGATTAAAGCTCATGAAATGTTCCCAATGACTTTTTGAAACATCTGAAATATTCCAAAGTCTTCAAATAAGAGCCTCTCTCATAAATACTATAGGCATCTTTTTTCAAAATCTGCCACAAAAGGACAAATAAAAGAATTCGAATGTCATATTACAGCTTCTCCAAACCTCACAAAGATTGCTGACATATTTGTCAGCGAATGTGTTAGACTTTTTAAACACATTGGTTAATCGAATATTTCTCCCAGCATATTTCACGACTGCCACAATCCCCGGCATATTTGCCAAAATAGCATTTGAATAGCATTTCTTTCAACGCAAACATTCCTTTCATATTTATATCATTTTTGAATTAACCTAAAAGCATTCGTTTTTTATTTATTTTTATTTTTTTTACTTTTTTTCTCACATTTACATGGCATCCCTCTTTTCCGTAATAGACGTAAATATGATGTTATGTCACCGCATAATTTATACACGTTATTAGCCGAACGTTTGCTATTGTATGAGGAATCATTGTCGTTGCCCACATACAATGTTTTATACGAAATTATGACCGAACATATATCACAACAAATTTTATATACACGTCATCCTGAGCCGGAGAGTCATTATCGTTTAGAAAATCCAAGTAAGTAAAGAATTGATTTAATTTGCTTTTTCATTTATTTTAATTTTTATTTTCTTCATCCCTCCACATAAATACATTTTTGTGTTTAAAAAGATGCTCCCTTTTTTACATGTTACACTTCCTGTCTTTAGTTTGCGTGCAAGTTTGCAAAAGAAATAAAATTCATATAAAAGCAAGTAAGAAAATTATATTCGAGTGCGAGCGAACCTTTTATGCCCGTCGCTGTTACCCTATAAAATATTGAACAAAGGGAAAAATATAAATTTGAATATTCTACCATATTTAGTGGGCGTGGCTGGTTTTTTCTATTTTTGTACAAAAATTTTGTGGTAATGTAGATCGTCTATCTGTTGTAGTTTACCAGACACGAGAAGCAAAGGTGCTCCATGTTTTGATTGTATAAACTTGTGGGCGTGTTCTTTGACTTGTTTAGTTCATTTTCAAACTCTTTTGCTAATTTGTAGACGACATCATCATTATGCGCACACGGGCAGGTAAACAAGCCTAGTGGTATTCTAAATCTATAACTGTGCGTAAATTTATATACTTTGTGGGCTTTTGAAAACGTGCTTGTTCACGTTTTAAATGCATTAAAAAAAAAAATTAAATTTTGATACGCTACAATTTCGGATAGGCATGGTTAGTTTTTCCCATTTTCATATGGGCACTGATAAAAAACGAATTTTTTGTTAATTTTGAAAAACAGAAGTATTATTGGCTTATGTGATACTGTAGGTCGATTTGGCCCACTTTCAACACCAACCGGCGTGCAAGAACTTGAAATGTTTCTGCTAAATTCGAAGTCAGTCGTTAGCTTCATTTTTAACGCTAGCAGAATGCGTACACCAGGCATCACACAGACAGACAGACACACACACGGACGATCGGACAGACGTATATGTTTAAATCGTTTCAGAATGTGATGTTGATCAAGAATACATATAGCTGAATGGATCTCTGAAGCTTCCTTTTGGGCATTGCAAACGTTTTGGCTCATCCTTCGGTGATGAGTATAAAAAGCAAAAAAATTTAATTTGGCCGCGACCGAATCTTTTAGATCCATTACCGTTATCCTAAAAAAGATCAAAGGAAAATAAGATGAAGGAGAGCTTAGTTTCTTTCAAAGAATTTCGAATAGAACGAGTTTTCACGCCAATTGGGATTTTCATCCCAAGATGTATGACTGGAATAAACGATCGTATCTGAAAATCTCTTACTCTTTGCTTGACTATCGAATCCCTATCCAGCTTTTAAATATGAAGCAATTGCGAAGGTTTTGAGTTGATTAATAAAACTTGAAATTACTAATAGTCAAACTTTTTAAGACGATTTAAATAAATCATATAAAATAAATTTGCAATGGTGCACGCGTCGCAGGGATTTGAGGGGTTGCAAAAATGTTGGCCACCTTTTCACTTGAAAAAGTCCTTTATTGCGGAAAATTTATCAAAATAGTTTCAATCATTTTCTAGAAGTTTGTACAATATTTTTGGCAACATGGCAATATTATGTCGAAAGAACTTGTATTGGTTTGGCAGCGATCCACTCACCGAGCCATTTTCGCACCTCCTAAACTTTGCGGACACGCCATGTCAATGGTAATCAGTAGGCGCCATGTCTGGTGAGCATGCATTGGAAAAAAGGAGTCTACTGAGTGCTTCATGATTAGCGTCGTCGTGCCCTGATTAAATCAATAATAGTAAAAGGAAAACTGTTATTGTATGTGTAGAGAAGGGTCAAAATCATCGAATTTAACCGTTACGTACCCTGGTATTTCCCCTTTTTTGTCTGCAGAATTCGCTGACCAAAATGTTTGCAACACCCTTATAGATATGAAAATATTCTCACAGTTTTTATGTACAACAGGAAATATTCAATATTCAAATCGTTTACGAGATTCACTTCAAGAGCCAATATTCAACAAATAATCGGTTCTGAAATGTCAAAAATTTTATACAGAGCTATTCCTAATAAATGGAAATAAAAGGCCGGATTGTTGCTCGCTATGTAGTGTGACGATATGAATGCTGGCGAATTGCTGGCTTTGTGAAACTGTTACCAAGAAAGAGTCCTCTTGAATATTTAATCGTTTTTGCAAATATTCTTTAGAAAATGACTCTAAATCGATGAATATTATAAATAATAAAAGATGGGTCTAGTTTCAGTGCTCCCAAGTGTTACATATTTATATTCGCGCAAACTTTATCTGTCCTATATCCTATATACGGTGGAGGGCATAAACAGATTATTATACCATTAATATTTTAAGTTTACATATAATATTTTAAAGAGTTTTTGATTTTTAAATAATTGTCTTGCAATTTCGTTAACTGTCTCCTTTCAGTGATTCTTAAAGTAGTTGCAACTCTGATACGCCAGTCGAAGCAAACTGAATCGTTGATTGAGGTTAAAAAGCTTTTTCTTTCTGACATGACTTTATTATGTAACAGTAATCGCGAAAATCGTCGCACCGTACTACAAATGTCAGTTTGGCAAGAATGGTTAATAGCGATGGCCTACATACATCCAAAGAATACTGAAGAACAAAAAATATCGGATATGGTTTATTCGTTGTTTCGGATGTTATTACATCATGCCATCAAACATGAATACGGCGGTTGGCGGGTATGGGTTGATACTTTGGCTATTGTTCATTCGAAAGTCTCCTATGAAGAATTCAAATTGCAATTTGCTCAAATGTACGAGCATTATGAGAGGCAAAGAACAGATAATATAACGGATCCTGCCTTAAGACAAGCGCGACCTATTAGTACCATCAGCGGTTGGGAGAGAGAGGAATTACAGCAACAGCAACATCATCAACACAGCGGAGTAGCGGGACAAAATTCAACATCGTTGGCTTCATTAGAAGATGTCCCTATGGTAGAAGAAGAAGTCGAAGATGCCGACGATGGGGTGGAATGTACAAGTCCGGTCGAGGACGATCTAGAGACTGAAGCAAATGAGAAGAAATGCATTTGCAAGGTTGAAGGTGATGAAGAGGATATAGACGTTAATCCCGAAATTAGCAAACAAACTAGCATAGCTAATATTAGTGACGTCTATAATGAGCATATAAAATCTGATGTATTAGTGACACCGATTAATGGTAATGTGACATCATCGGCTAACAGCAGTACAAAAGCTACACCAGCTAAAACTACTTTAGCGTCTAGTTCAGAGGCATTAAAAGAAAGCGTTAAAATTCAAGATTTAGAAGCACTTGAAATAAGCAATATAAAAGAACTGACTGCAGACACTGAAGAGCACGTTCAGTTAGTGCTACAAACATCGGAGAAAGCGTTGCAAGACTGTAAACTAGTAGCGGATGAGCTGCAAGAGGCCTCTTCAGTAATAAAAGATGAAGAAATTGAATTGGCCGTGAATGAAGTGGTACAGGGCGTTTTGAATAATGAAACGCAAAAGAAACAAAATGCCAAGGAACCGTCCACAGAAAATGCAACAGCGCTTAATTTTGAAGATGATAACGGCAAACATAATAACATTAATAGTGATCAACTTAGTTCCCAAGATCAAGTTAATCTGCGTAATACAAAAAATTTACTTAATAATAATTTAATTGAAGAAAATCTGCAGCAAACTGATAAAAATGCCAATAGTGAAATATTG